ATTTGGTTCGATTCTAGAGTTTTGTCTAGTTTTAGTAAGATCAGAGGTCCAATTGTCCTCCGATAAGGTTATAAATCTACTACATTAAAAATTGGACTAATATTTAAATGTGTTGGCAAATCAAATAGATATGCATTAGTTCCCAGCCTTTTAACAATGGAAAAGAAACCACGTTATCTAGCACAAAGTTTTTTGGAAGCATGTTTGGGAAAACGTTCTATAGCTCTTATGCCTATGGTGTGAGTCAACTGAAAGTTTGCATTAATCATTACTTAAAGAAATTTTACGTTTAATTTCATCATGCAACTTACAAATATAGTCAGAAAAAGTGGCAAGACAAAAATCAGTAAGCAAAAGACAAGCAAGTGTTTGGCACAGTGAAAAACCATGTACTACCTCGAACAGGCTATGACCGATTAATCTATTGACATGATTATTTTACGCAAACTAAGCAATAGGTAACACAAGATCCCAATTTTCTAGCTTATCCCGACTAAGTAACTAAGTAGGTTTCCTATGCTATGATTAACCACCTTAGTTTGACTGTCGATCTGTGTTGAAAGCGGAAGAAAATTAAAGCGTAGTTCCAAAAATTTTTTATAGTATCTTTCAAAATTAACTAATAAATTTGACATCACGATGATACACAATAGTAGAAAGCCCATGTAGGCGAACAATTTCTTTGAAAAACAACTTAGTAACATGTGACGCATTAGTAAATTTGGAACATGGAATGAAATGTGCCATCTTTGAGATTCTATCCACGAAAACTAAAATAAAATCCTGATATTGAGCAGTCTTGGACAAACTTAGAACAAAATCTATACTAAGGGCATGCCAGGTAGTATGAGGAATGGGTAGAAGAGTGTACATCTCAGTGTTATGACGTTCCTTTCGTATTCTCTTACATATTATAAAGAAGAAGATCCCCGCTCGAGGGCTTTAGCCTTTGACTGCGTTCCTGGCTCTCCGCTAAAGCCCTTTTATCTTGTGCTTGGGTGAATATGAATGTCTTTCTCCTGGCTTACCATGATTTTTGGTGGGAAGAAAGTAATTGCTAGCTCTTTGAATGAATACGCTCTTGGGCCATAGGAAGAGCGGAGCTGAACTTTTGTGACTAGCTGAAAGTGATCATTGACAAGGCCTTGCAAGCCCACCTTCCCTTCCCCGCCACTTTGGCTTAGTCTTCTTTGTTTTGAACTGACAAGTACGACATTGAGAAACAATGCGAGCGATGTCCCTCTTGAAAGAGGGCCAATAAAAATGACCCTTGACTAAGGCGATAGTTTTATCTCGACCAAAATGACTAGCTAGACCATGCATGTAATTTCCATACAAGAAAGTGAGGCCCCAAGAATACACAACTTGGTTCCTTAGAAAAGATAACTATCTTTAAGCAAGAAACCAACATGTTGCATCTTATTTTGCTTCTCTGTGCAATATTACCCAATCCTGTTTTGATCATTCTGCCATATGCATTTTGAGATAGAATAACAAGATGTTTTAGTTCATGATGATGATCATGGTGTACTTGTGACTAGTTTGCTTATTCCTTATGTTATTCTTAATTTTTTTCTTTTTACAGTATACAGAATTGGGTGGAAGATTTGTACTGGAAGCAGCTTGATATAGACTACCCTGGAATCGATAATGCGATGGTTTGAACAACCGAGTTTTGTGATTGGGTGTCTCTTTCATAAATATATATAGTGAGTGTTTATATGGGTATGCATGCATTCATGTGGCCTTGTTTTTTTTAGGTGCATCATGGATTTTATTCTGCTTACTACAACACGACATTACGGCCTGGAGTATTAAATGCAGTTAAAAAGGCAATCAACTTGTATGGAAATATTAATATTATTTCGACTGGGCATTCAATGGGTGGGGCGATGGCTGGTTTTTGTGGACTTGATCTCAGTGTACCTATCCAACACTCACTTTTTCTTAATATTCTCTGTTGTTTCTTACATTTCCTGAATATGGTGCCTTTTCTTAATTGGCATATAATTTGCTGTTACTGTGTGCCATAACCATGGTTTTGGCAAAGGGAAAAAAGAAGAACAGTTGATGATTGATTCTTGCAATATCCCTTTCTATTGGCATTCTTTCAATTGTCAAGCTAAACCTCAAAAGCTTTGGTAATTTTGTCAATTATTCCATCACCAAATTTCTCTTTCTATTCAAAACTTGTGTATTTCTTGGATGTCTGTAGAATTTGAATTTTGAGATTCAGTCTCAGGTTTTTGTGTAATTGTTGCAGTAATTATTGTTGTCTTTGATTTTCTGGAGTCTTCTAGTGAAAAACTTGTCATATTCTCAGCTTGAGCTTGCAGAGCAGAATGTTCAGGTCATGACGTTTGGACAACCTAGGATCGGCAATGCTGCTTTTGCATCCTACTATAGCCAAGTGGTGCCAAATACCATTCGTGTCACCCATGGGCATGATATAGTGCCTCATTTGCCCCCTTATTACTCTTATTTCCCTCAAAAGACATACCACCACTTTCCAAGAGAGGTAATAGTTCTTCATAATTCAAATTCATAGATACCACTATTTTAGTCTTTAGTGGTACGATTCTTACCCTTAAATGATGCACATATTTATTGAATTAGAGTTTTTAAGTTTTTCTTTTTCTTTTTTTTTCCAGTATGCTGAAACATGGTGTGAATTACCATTTATTATTCTTTAATTTTATAGGTTTCTTCAGGTAAATGTTGATAAGAAAAAACTTCCATTATTACTCTTCCCACTCCCGTTTAATGTTGCGCTTTCATTTATTAGAACGAACAATCTTCGCTTAGTTATTATGATTTTCATATTAATTCGATGCTTCTATTTGAATAATGTTGTTCCTCTTGACTACTAAGATTACTTATATTACTGACCACATCATGACATTCTTATAAAATATATTTCAGGGTTCTTAAAATCTGACCTTTATCTTTATCTTCCAATTTATGCTGGATGGTTTTTTTTCTTGACTTATAAGATCTTCATCCCTCAGGTCTGGCTCTACACTCGCGGGTTTGGAAGTTTCGTTTATCCAGTCGAGAAGGTCTGCGATAACTCTGGGGAAGACCCAACATGTAGCAGGCAAGTAGTTACTACCTCCAAATACAATGAGAAATTTCATCCCCTGACTTCATTCTGCTATCACTCATTCGTGTTCAACTCGATATCAGAAAATAATGGAAAATTATTCAGAACATTATTATTTAATTTACATTCGAGGTTTTAGATTTGAAACATACAATGTTCACTACTTTGGTGCTTCTTCACTTGGTCGTTACACACTCACATTACATCACTAAGAGCATATCAGCCTTCATCCAACGCCCACCGACTTGGTTTTGGGCTGGGCCACCCTGAGACATTGTGCTAGGTGGGCTAGGCCTACTGACTTATACCATTTTAATAGGAAATGAATGGTAGAAACAAATAAAACTTTAATGTTATTGTTTGAATGACTGTAAGACAACGTATAAATCAATAGTTCGAGTAGATCTAGTGCATTGTTTTCATTAAGTATTTGGTTTTCTTTTTATTTTCTACGAGGTGTCCAGCACGACCTGTTCCATCGCCAGGGCTAGAGACCGGGTCAGGCCTTCTATGTGGTGGGCAGAATAACACATTTTGACACCTATACCATTAAAAGAAAGAATTGTTTACTTCATAATCGCTTTAGCTCATGGCGGTTTCTCATTCAAAGTTTAGCGGTTGTATTTTCCAAAGCTGCCACTGATCTTATCTTAACCATTTGCAGGTCTGTAGCTGGGAACAGTATTTTAGATCACTTGACGTACTATGGTGTTCAAATGGGATGCGAGACATCAGGCACATGCAGAATCGTAATGGATCCCCGTATCTCTGCATTTGTCCAAGAAGATCTTGACGGAAATCTTGTCTTGTCCAGAGATCTCTCTCCTCCCATTTTGAAATTAAATACAGAACTGGCTGATCAAGGCAGCTCCTTTTAGATATTTACTCGGTTTAATCGTGTCAAATTTCTTGAGAAATCAAGAAAAGAGGTAAGTGCACATAGCACGCCGATTTTTTCCCTTTACAGATGCCATCTGAAGGGCATTTAGCCCATGGGAAGGTTTACTTTGTACATTAACTGTTGTACATTATTAACATTCATACTTGATGTGAATAAATAGTTAATTTCAGTTCTTGTTCATTATTTTGTGTTTGGTTTAATACTTGATCTTATATCTAACTTGAAACAAAGTTGAATTTAGATTGTTTTGCTGACTTTGACTTATGGAATATACATTTCATGGAAATAGGATTTGATATACTGTTCTGAGTTAGACAATGATATCTTACTAGGACATTTGCAAATTGGGGACATGACATTTTTAACTGAATTATAGCAGTTATAACAAAGAAGGTTTGTTTTCAATAAATATTGTGTTCGGCTAAGCTAAAAAGTTGCTTAAGTTTATTTTTCTATCGAATCAAAATCAAACATTAATTTCAACCACACATTCATAACTGATATCCACCTATTATCTGTACATTATGTGGGATCGATACTAATCCTCCTAAAAAGTTCTTATAAACTTACCCGAACATAGGCAAAGTTAGGATTGAATAATTGAATCATGATTCATCGAAAGACGGACGAGTCTTCCTCTCATGTCATAACGTGAAAGTTTTGTGACCCTTCTCTATACAATCTAAAAACCAACTACGGAAAGTATTAACATAGGGATGAAACATGATTCATTTATTCAATCCTAACTTTAACTCATCATGATGGATTACTCTTGCTTTGGTTTCCCGTTCAACCATCATCTTATCCATAAATTTAAACCGTTAAAATATTTATAACAAAGTAAAGTGTAAATTATACTATAATGAATACAGTGTTTTATAAGAATACAGAATTATTTTCCGTTGCAACAATCAAGAAGCATTTATCATATTGTCTGGTGTAATCAGCTTCAGATTCTCCTACACAAGCATCAACTCTCAAGCAGCCTTAGCCTTTCTATTCCTTTTTGGTGGCAGAATCTTCTGTTTCAGCAATTGGCAGCACCACTTCTTCTTTCACCTCTTCTGCATTTTCCACCTTCATAGCCTCTTCTACAAAGACAACAAATTACAGCATTGATGAATCCTTTTAAGATAAAATTTTAAGGTAAAGAATTTTTGTTCATCTCTAGCATGCAACTAAACGAGGTAATTACGAATCCAGCTTCAAGGTACGTTAAATACAAGACTTAAACGTGACTGCTTAAGTTTTTAGACGAGAATGTTCAACATAGTGATAAAAACTTTTGCTATATAATAAATGTAAAATGGAGATTATAAACAAACCAGTTTTCGACTCCTCCTTGGCCTCTTTGATAATTTCTTTTCCCTCTACATTATCATTCAAATCCATTTTCCCTTCTGATGCATTTTCTTCAGGGATAATGGATTCATTTTCCCTCTCGAGCTTTTCTACATCTGGTTCTTGAACAGCGACAACAACCTCTTGATGAACACTGATTTCATCAGATTTTCCCTCCTTATTTTCCTCCACGACCATAACAGGTGCCTCCAATTTTTCTTCCTTTCCATTCACATTTTCTTCACCCTCAGATTTTCCATTTCCATTATCAGTTTCTTTGGCATTTCCTCCCTTTTTTTCCTCCTCCACTTCAGAATTTTCCATTATTTTCACATTTTCCTCCACCTTTGATTTTCCATTTCCATTATCAGTTTCTTTGGCATTTTCTCCCTCTTTTTCCTCCTCCACTTTTGCAGTTTCCTTTCCCTTTTCAGAATTTTCCATTGCTTTCACATTTTCCTCCACCTTTGATTCTCCATTTCCATTATCAGTTACTTTGGCATTTTCCTTTCCCTCTTCCAAACCTCCCCTTTCCTCTACATTTCCATCCGCCACAGGTTCCTTGATTAACTTTTCCTTCTCTTCAACAAAGCTTTCTGCAATTCTCTTAGAATTGGATTTCTCGTTTTTACTTTTGCTAATGGTGTTTTCTGTTGCAACAGCATGCTTTGATTCCCCACAACCCATTTCTCTAGCTGTCGAGGGGAGAGGAAAAATTTCTTAGAGAGAGAGAGAGAGAGGAAAATGAAAATTATGTTCCTCCGTTCTCTTTTCAGCCTCCTTTTGCCTGGCTTGAGAGAGACAGAGAGAGAGGAAAATGAAAATTATGTTCCTCCGTCCTCTTTTCAGCCTCCCTTTGCCTGGCTTTGGTTTAATTTATAGTCAGAAGAAGAACCGCTTTTTCCGTTAGTATTTTGAAGGTTGAAATGAACCTCGATGGAATCGAAGAGGTTTCATTCATAGGAACGAATTGTTGAAAATTTGGGACTGGAAATGACAATATAACGAATAAGATTTCAACAATTTTTTTTTTTAATATTCAACGTATCTGGTCATGTCTGAAGCATACAAATGTAAAACTATACCCATTCTTTCTCTTTGGAATTTTTGAGGAACTAAAATTTCAAATGAGTTGGTGGTGTACAAGTTTGCTATGCACGACGTATAAAAATTAATAATTTTAAAGTTCAATGCATGCATTAAAGACGAAATAAAATAAAAAATTGTATCGCTCTTATCTCACTTAAATTTTTGAACAATTATTTCTTGACTTAGTAACAATGTAGCAATCCAAGAGTTTTCGACATATACCAAACATCTATTATTAATGTCATGTCCGATAACGTAGTAAATTATATATCTATTACTTCTTGTTTAGAAAAGTTTAAAAATCGTGATCAAAGTGAATAATTAATTTTAATGATACATATTATTGGACTCNATCAAAGTGAATAATTAATTTTAATGATACATATTATTGGACTCACAATTTTTATTAAAATTTACTAAAATTGTGATTAAACAACCCCTTGTATTGTAAGTTTAATTAGGTTGACGGCAATTACAAGAGGTTGGATTGTTGGAGCATATATTGTTGATCCCAAAAAATGTACATCCAATGTCGTGATCAATAAATTCCAAGGTCTCTCAAGTTCACGCAAGCCTTGTTTTTGCACACTTAGATAAGTCATTGCCACTCATAGTCCCCTCTGGGTGGGGGTGGAGATGGACGTACGCATTCTGACGGTCTAATCAATTGGAAAAAAAATATATGAGCATGAGAGAGCTTTAGACAAGAGCCTCCAAATAAAAAAGGAGTCAACCTTAGGAAATAACAAATAGAATTGTGATATGACAAAGTTATAGTTTGAGAGTCTAAACTTGCATTACACTTCAATTGACACTAAGTGCGAGCTTTTGTAATAAAAAATGGTGAATGAGAGTCGTTGGATGAAGAGTCGCGTGGCCTCATCCATGCGGCTAATGCCTCTTATCTTAGATATCAACCAATCATAAGCCTAAAATTCTAATACCACTTTAGCATCCATAATGCCTAACTTACGATTTTGGACTTGATCAGATAGGTTGGCAGTAATTACGGCGATAGTGAATTGTCACGTCAATCACATATCGAAAGACTATCTGGGAGATCTTGTGCTAAGTTTCTTTTGTGGCCTCTACTCACGAACTGACTCTTGCCCATGGGGTCAGTATGATTTGATGGGGTCAGCAAGTATATTGATTAGGCCACAAAAAGGAGTCCGGTCAAATCAGTCTCGTGATATGTTTAATATATTATGGTGTGGTGTGGGGCCCTACTTTTGCTCGTCAAGTAGGATATTTGGGGCCTTGTGAAACAAGGCGTAACATATACCTTAATTCTATCTACTTGGCTTGACAGAAATTTTTAATTGTCTCATTCATGTAAACTTCAAATTTGATGATATAATTGCCGGCTCATGGGCCGCTAGTGGTGGGCTTTAGCATTTGATAATAATGTTGGGATTATAACAAAGTTTTTGGTGTCGTTATTTTATTTTTAGGGTAAAAACCAAAAATAACAATGCAACATTGTTGTCGCAAGTGAATTATTCGAATGAGTTTGATATCAATATACTATTTTACTTGGGGGACTTGTGCAATAGTCGATGTACTCTAGTAATTTTAAACTTTATGTTACGATCGAGTGTATTTTGGTATTTTGCATATAATAAGTGTGAGATTGTGGTTAAGAAAATTATCCTACCAAAACGCAGCAGAAACACAAAATACAAAAATGAGCCGAAAAGACAAATTAATAATTAAAAATGGTTCAACAAATAGTCGACAACTATAGGAAGGGGACTTTATTAATTGAGAAAAGCACGCAATATATTTATTTTTCTCACCCTCTCAATTTTTCTCTTCAATTGTTCATATTTCTTGCACAGTCCCAAAACTTAATTATAACTATTAAAAGGACCTTCAACTATTTACTTTTACTTGAATCAGTCCAAATTAATCTCCAGTTGACTTAAATTCTTCGAATCCACGACCACTTCTTAGCACCCAACATTGCACGATTTTTAATGGTAGACACAGCCATCATGTCCCAATAATTTTTAGTAGACACAAAGTCGAATTTAAAGATTTATGAAACCTCTCTCTACATTTTGAAATCTTCAAACTTCATTCTCCCTGTCACGAGTCACGTAACTTGTCTTAACCACTTCACTACCTATAGCAATAGTAGAAAACTCTCCTCTGTGTAATTCCAACGCGAAAACTCCACATTTGATTGCAAGGATGTAAAATAGATGGAAAGAAAATAAATTTCAAGGAAAATAATTGCCTAGAAAATATTTTGTAGGGAATTGTTAATTAACTGTGTTTGATTGGTATAACTTTTGGGTGAAAAATTTTTAAATTTTGTGTTCGTTTGACTTAGTTTTATATGGAAATTGTCTATTAAAGTGATATTTTTTTCACAATTGGTTAAAAAATTTGTTTCCATTGCTAAAAAGGAAAAAAATGAATTTTTTTAATCAAAGTTTAATATTCGTTTGGCTTTATTTTATATGAAAATTGTCTATTAATGTGAATTTTTTTTTTATAACTAGTTATGAAATTTGCTTTCATTGCCAAAAAAAAGTGGCACAGTCACCAAGAAAATCTTTTTCCTAAAAACAAGGAAAGAGGGTGCGTGGGGGTGGGGGGTGGAAAATTTTTTCTTGGCTAAATTTTTCCCATCAAACACCTCTTTTGCATGGAAATGAAAAAGTTTTCCATTTTTCAAGGAAAAAGTTGCCTATCAAACACAACCTTAGTATGCACAAATTGTCAACATTTTTGCCACACAATTTTTCTTAGCAATTATTACAATAATTTTCATAATCCAAAGTTATTGCCACACAATTTCTCTTAACACTAATTACACTAGCACTGTCAATATTCATAACCGTGTCCAAGCTTGTATGAGTCTAGTTTTTTGTCGAAATACATTTTGGAATGGTGATTTGAGAGAATGAATGGTTCAAAAATAAGAAAAATGTATAGATTGACATGTAATATTATTTTATAGAAGAATGTATAATTAAAAATAAGAGAGAAAATAATATATTTTGAAAATAATGATAACCAAACAAGGCTAAACTTCGCCTCAATTTTGGGACATACAAAGTACTTGTTACTTGCCTTCCTACTCCATCAAACATCAACAACTTCACAATACCCAAACCCTTAACTTCAAATTTATGATATCAACTATCGTAACATTACGCGCATCACTTGACTTTTTATCCTCAAATCACCCTTTGTGGGGCACATATAATAAACATATACAAAATTTAAAATCCAGGAGTCGCTTGGAGAATAATAATCAGTAAGAAAATGGAAATCATTATCGATCTTGACATCATAATCAACAATATTCGTATTATCCGAGTCTTCTTTATTCTCTTTATTCCTCTTCACTTCAAGATAGTTTGTCAATTCTTCTCATTTTTCTTTTAATCTGGCCCTTCTTTTGGCAGTAACAACATCCATACACATCTCTCCTTAATACGAGTTCAAGAACTATCATCCCTTTGACCATAATTCCTTCCTTGCGTGTAACTTCTACCACGACTACTACCATAAGTTGCCAAAAGAACTTGATCACCGTTTAGAATACCAGTTGACATTTTTATGTTTGCTATCTCTAACAAAGCAATTGAAACTTCATTCACTATCAAAGTAGATTTTTCAACT